TGTGTGTGTGTGTGTGTGTGTGCGTATACAGCAACAGATATTGGTGGATGTGAACGATGGCTGTTTTTTTCTGTCGTCAGTTGTACCTGACGTCGAACGTGTCGTCCAGCGACTTCAACATGGGTTACAGCATGACCGGCACGCTGGAGCGCGGCTGCAAGAAGACCAACACCTTTCAGATGACTCACTTCGCGGTGATTCGTCGACGAGACTACGAAAAGGCCTACGAGGACTCGAATCCCACCTAGTGCCCGTCCACACCCACGCTGTCCGAGTGTGGGAACTGCGAACACTACGCGTAAAAGGAAAGGAAAGGAAAGGGATGTTGACGAAATCACGCGCACACCGATTCCCTTCTGATTTATTTTCAAATCCGGGACGAAAAGGGTTCCTCGGGGGAGGAAGAAAGGAAGGAAGGGTCTCTCGCGGATCGGTCCGCTCGATCCGCTCGAAATTCGCGAAGAAAATAGAAGAAAGGAGAAAGCGAGCGATCGAATTCGCGAATACGAGAACGAAATCAAAGAGAAACCGAAAAGGCGATCAGGTAGAAGCCAACACACGTCCAATGGTAGTGTTTAAATTTTAGGTCGGGAAGTTAAGTAGTTTTTAACGAAACAGTAGTGGCGGGGAAAACGATGTACGGAGTAAAAAAAGAAAAAAAGAAAAAAAGAAAAAAGAAAACCGCAATGTGATCGAGGATCGAGGAAAGCATATTCCCAAAGTATTAGCACGTAAGTGATAAATCTCGCAGGCGATAAGTTCTCCTACGCGTCCTTCTTTCGTCGACACGCGCTGCTTCTCGTCCACCGATCCACCGGTTACCGTACCGGCACGCGCTTCTCCGAATTGTGTCCTGTCGAGCGTGTATGCGTGTATGCGTGTGTGCGTGTGTGCGTGTGTGCGTGCGTGTATGCGTGCGGCGAACGCCTCCTCGAGCTTCCTACGCTTCCCCGAGTTCCTCGAGCTCCTTCATCCTGGCGCCGTTCCCCGGGGAACGGAGCTTGCGGGCAACTTCAGCCCCACTAGTCGCGCGAGCGCTTCCAAACGCGCCAACACAAACCTAAGCACAAATTAAAACACAAACATATGCATACGCATGCGCAAACACAAACACACGTACACACATACGCGCACAATCCTCGAATGGCCAGGGTTGACGATCGTCGTCGTGTAGCGGCCCAAACTTCGAAGCGATACTTATTTTTGTTAACGTGTAGAGAGAGAGCGCGCGCGCACGGCCGTGACACGACACGATTTTCCCTCGATTCGCATCAAACTTGATCGCGCAATTTCCCCTGCCCCACCCCCGGCCCCTCGCTCATGATCGCGCGAGCCCGGTGATTTTTGTACCTTCGGCTTTGCTCAACGATATATCTACCTAGCGGATACCAAAACGCGAACGGCATAGATGTAAGTTATTAACGATCGGTCGTAAATTAGCGTTTATCGACCGACAGATTGACGCGCGTGTCCGAATAAGTTTCGCTTTTAAACGTACCTCGATGGATAGTCGGGATTTCACGGCGGGATGC